TTAAAATTGTACATAAAAATAAAAATAAAATGGAAAACTTTCCTCAACCACAATACTTAATAAGTTACAGGTTTAGATTTGGATATGACATGTGGGTCCGCCTATTGGTAATAATAATAATAATACATTTTATTTCATAGACGCCTTTCTGTCACCCAAGGACACCATAGAGTGAATACAAAGATAACAACACAGCATTAAAAAACAATAAAACATAAAACATTAAGAACAAGTTAAAATACAGCAGTGAAGTATCAGATGGAGAAGGCAATTTTAAACAGATGAGTTTTAAGTGCAGATTTGAATTGTGGGAGTGAATCGATCCTCAAGACGGGGGGTAGAGAGTTCCAGAGCTGGGGAGCAGAGCGACTGAACGGTCTGTACCCCATGGTGGCGAGACGGGCGGAGGGGACAGTCAGATGAATGGAGGAGGACGATCTGAGGAAGCGGGAGGGAACAGCGACATAAAGAAGATCTGAGATGTATGGTGGAGCAGAGTTGTGGATGGCTTTGAATGTGAGCAGAAGGATCTTGTAGTTAATACGGAACTTTATCGGGAGCCAGTGAAGCTGTTGCAGGACAGGAGTGATGTGGTGGATGGAAGGGGTTCTAGTAATGATGCGGGTGGCTGAGTTGGAGGCGGGACTTGCAATAGTCAAGGCGGGAGGTGACAAGGCTGTGAACCAAGATGGAAGTGCTATGGGGAGTGAGGGAGGGGCGAAGGCGGTTGATATTGCGTAAGTGGAAATAGGTGAATCGGGTGACGTTGTTGATATGAGATTGAAAAGATAGTGTGCTGTCGAGGATGACACCCAGACTCTCAACCTGTGGGGAGGGGGAAATGGAGCAATTGTCAATATCAAATGAGAAACTGTTGGTTTTAGATAATGTTGATTTAGTACCAATGAGGAAAACCTCTGTTTTGTTACTGTTTAGTTTAAGAAAAATTGAGGTGAACCAGGATTTTATTTCAGTCTAAAAGAGAAGGGGGCGGGAGGTTGGAGTCGGGTTTGCTGGCTAGTTAGAGCTGGGTGTCATCTGCGTAGCAGTGAAAGTTTATGGAGTGTTTACGGAAGATATTACCAAGTTAGATGATGAACAAAAGGGGACCCAGGACAGAGCCCTGGGGCACACCTGAATTGACAGAAGAGGGCTGGGATGTGAAGGTTTTAAGCTGGAT